AGAATTTCCAGTGGGACATTTGATTACTTCTTCTTTGATTCTTAATTTGCTAGATTATTATTCTGACAGTATGGTTCAGTATTAGAACAGAAGAACCTATGTTTTTAAGGCGACGCCTTACCGCCTTAGGGAGGGGGGGCGCTTTGGCGCCTAGGCGACGCCTAGGCAGGCGCTTTGGACGCCTAGGCGCCCAAAGCGGTCGATTTTCCAAAGCGGAGGGGGAGCGCTTCGACGCCTAGGCGTCGCCTTAGGGACGCTTTAAAAACATAGAGAAGAACTTTGCACTTGCTTTGTTTTATACAAGCCTAATACTCTGTCTGATTCCACATGTCATTTTACTGTATATATAAACAACAATGACATGTATTTTTAGAAAGAAGGTGAAATAATCATAAGAGACACCAAATAATCAGTGATTTGATTTTTTTTAAAAATTCATGATGCAAGCATTGTCCTCTTGTGCAGTAAATGCTCTAGGTCCATCTACATTTTGGTGTCTGCTTTATTATAACAAATATGTTAATTTATTCACCAATTTCAGTAGAAAGAACTCTTATGAACCCATGTTGATTTGAGCTTTTGATTTTCTCAGGTTTTAGGTGGATTTGATGTGTCAAACTATGTAACGGAGAGAAAATGGGCTGCTGCTTCTGATGGAACTCAGATCCCCATGTCCATTCTTTACAGAAAAGATATGGTGAAGCTTGATGGCTCAGACCCCATGCTGCTATATGGATATGGCTCATATGAGGTATGGACTCGTTATTATCTTCTGTAAATAGCAAGTTTCTACAATCTTGTAGAGTGTCATATAGATCATGCAAACATATTTGGTTTGTCTTGAAAATTAAGGGGGCACATGCAAGAAAATTGAAATACAAATTTGCGTATTGAAAAATAAGGTGACACATCCTTGAAAAGAGTGCCTAAACAGGGACAAAATTTGCCTCTTTGATAGTACTGGTTTCGGTCATTGTATGTTTGGTAAAGTCTGCTGAGCAACTGTAAAAACATGTTTCCTTTTAACCCATGCAAAAATTGCCATATAACTGAGACTACCAACACATTTCAGCTTTTAGAATTAGTGTGTTGTGCTGCTGGTAACCATGCTCACTGCTTACACATTCCTTATGGCAACAGATATGCATAGATCCGACTTTCAGGGGATCTAGGTTCTCTCTGGTGGACAGGGGTTTTATATACGTGATAGCTCATATCCGTGGAGGTGGTGAAATGGGCCGGAATTGGTATGAAGATGGGAAGCTGCTGAAGAAGAAAAACACTTTCACTGATTTCATTGCCTGTGCTGAGCACTTGATAGAAAACAAGTACTGTACGAAAGAAAAGCTTTGCATCAACGGAAGAAGTGCAGGTGGCCTGTTGATGGGTGCTGTCCTAAATATGAGGCCTGACTTATTCAAAGCAGCTGTTGCTGGGGTCCCTTTCGTTGATGTTCTCACAACTATGCTTGACCCAACTATCCCGTTGACTACAGCTGAATGGGAGGTATTAATCTCCTATATTTTATTTAATTTTGTTTTCATGATTCACTGTCATATTGTCATTTTGTACACTTGCTTCAGTTAGACATATGTTAGCTTGGCCTTTGATCAAACCAGGCTTGCTTGGTGGGCATGTCTAAGACTAGGAAATGATTGTCGTACTATAATATATGTCATCAAATTCCTTTTTACATAGTTTGAATGCATATAGTTTTTATGCCTTTTATATCCTTATGATAAAAAATAAATAGGAAGCGAATAATTTGCGCTGTATGTAATCTGTGCATGCCCATTGGCCATGCATGTGCTTTAGTCTTATTATGTATTTATTCTAGGTATCAACTTTCATTGCATTGCGCACCTGCAGTTTTGTTTCTGCTCTCACCAACACATCCTTTTTGCCCTTGGTTCAGGAGTGGGGTGATCCAAGGAAAGAAGAATACTACTATTACATGAAATCTTATTCTCCTGTTGATAATGTAAGTGCTGATCTTTATTTTGTGATATACTATGTGTTTTCTTGCCCTGTATGCTATCGAGGCTGGCTGCAGAAATGTATTTAGCTGAGGTGTCTGTCCATCTGCTGCAGGTAAAAGCACAAAACTATCCCCACATTCTGGTCACTGCTGGCCTAAACGGTACGGGCCTTGGGTTCTTAGTTTCTGTTAACTACGGTTAGCTGTTACACCACATTATACTCACATCTAACTCGGATCCTGTGTGACAAGCAGATCCTCGTGTGATGTACTCAGAGCCTGCTAAGTTTGTGGCGAAGCTGAGAGAGCTTAAAACAGACGACAATCTCCTGCTGTTCAAGTGTGAGCTTGGTGCTGGGCACTTCTCCAAGTCCGGGAGGTAAATAGACAACAAAGGAGAGAAGTTTGTTTTTGTCAGGACAGCAATTGAGAGAATTACTTATTTGCGCTTGGTTTCTTGTTTGATGCAACATGCTGTTGGTCCCAAAAGGAACAAATAACACTGGATTTTCGGCCTAACTGTCGTTGTTTGAACCTGCAGATTCGAGAAACTCCGAGAAGACGCCTTCACCTACGCATTCATCCTCAAGGCGCTGGGCATGACTCCTCCAACAACGGCTTCTTCGCTGTGACGTGCGCGCATATTCGTCGTCGCCGTCAGTAACTTCATGGATTTAATTTTTTAGGCACTTCTTCTGGTTTGCCCAAAAAGGTGGGTAAGGAAGAAAGCCATATGAATTAGTTGTGGCCTGTGAGGGAGTGGACTAGCAACTGAATCTGTGACACTGTTATTTGGCAAGAATGGGAGGATCGATTCTTTGTTTCGGTATCGTGGTTTGGTCTGATGATGATAAGGAAGTGCAATCTCTGTTTAACTTGTGTGTTAGACGTGCGCTGAAGCACAAGATAGGAAGTGTGATCCTTGTTTTGCTATCATGGTTTGGTTTGATGTTTGGAAATCGAACTCATTATTCATTAATCCAGCAGCTAATGTGCAGCTGATAGAAAATCCGTCATGCCATGAATTGCAGCCTCAAACCGAAGGCGCAACAATTAACTTCATATTCAGTAAACAGCACTTGGGAAGTGTGCATACACATTGTCAGACACAACTGTTGTGCTTTGGGACATCTTTATTCCCGAGGCAAGTTATCCTCAAAGCCACAAAATGTTGCAAGCTATGAGTACCAGGAATGATTTACTGGAAGTTAGATGAGCAATGCACAGCCATAACAGCCCAAAATTAAAACGGAATTGGTGCAAAGAAGAGGGATGACAATTGTAATACCTTTCATCAGTGAGCGTGGTCACATCAATTCAGCAGAAAATAAAACTTTGGCCAACATAAGGGGCATCTATATATCTGCTAGTCGAGTTCTTCGCCTCTTGTTACTCCAGACGAATAAAAGTCGGAAAGCTAGACTACAACAGGTATAGCAAAGTTTACAAGAGCGGCAGCTCCAATCCTCTGATCATCTTGCTCAACGGCATCCGGTGGTGCTTGCACTAGATCGCTAGTTTTAGAAAAATCACCGCAATCGATTTATGATCGCCGCTATCTCCTCTCGCTCGTTTTTCTTCTTTTCTTGTCCCTTTGGACAGCCTCTCCATGACGCCTGCTTCATACACAAACACGCCATAACTGCATAGTAAGGAACCTCGAAAAGAGAATCAATCTTCCGAAAACAAAGAACCAAGTTTCAGCTCAAGATGTAACCCTGCATAATCAATCAGTACGAGCTAAATTTAACCAAACTTCTTCAGCCAAACTGATCAGATACTCAAATGACCTACACATCATGCGTCTGCTTTCGTTTCCTCTTGACACCACTTGGCTTTAGTGGCTGATCTTTGCTGTGCCGCCTGAACACCTCGGAATCACTACTGCTACTACCGGCACCAACATCCGTAACAGGATCCCTCGATAGCACAAGTCTATCAAGGCCGGTTGCATCGAGTGAGGTTTCTTCTCTTAGCCGCTGTTTGAAATCTTCCAGCAAAACAACACCTGGAAAGCAGAGCACAAGCATGAGCATGTTGTTGCTCAGCAAAGAGATTGATTGCTTGCAGCATACATGCAAGTGAATTTTAGACAATGAGCAAACAGCTACATCTTTCATCATACACTCGAAGACGAAGTAAGAAGTAAAATCGTATTTTTTATGAGCAGCCAGCCTAAAGACCGAGTAGCTCTCAATTTGGTCATGAGGCAGGACACATGGGTGCATAAACATTTGATTAAGCTGCATTGTCTGAAGACCATTATATATTGCAACTCTGAATCAGGAAAGATGTCCTATGCAATGAATTCATACTTGTGCTCAAAATCTGTCCCTTTGGCGCACAATTTCAGAGCACTGTGAATAACAGAACCGGCTGAATGCCCTATGATGACATGGGAACTACAGTAACTAACTAAATTGCGCATTCTACGAGCACACCAATAGGCTCTAATTGCTGTTGTTGTTGTTGCGGGGAGAGGAGGGGAGGGGAGGGAGGTGCGGCGGAGCAATAGAAGCAGGCGTTACCGAGGGCCCGCAGCGTGCGCAGGTCGAAGGCGTTGGCGAGGTTGGGGCGGCCGGCCGTCTCCGCCCGCTTCACGGCCAGCATCTTCAGGCTGATGAGCAAATCCTGCACCACCACCACCACCACTGCGGCACCATTAAAACCTGTCGTAATAAAGGCGAGAAATTGAGAGCGAGGAGAAGGGCGGCGTCACTGACGAGCTCGGGCTCGGAGAGGGCTGCGATCCAGCGCGACTCCTCCTCGGTGCTGGCGCTGCTCTCTGCGGCCGCCGGAGGAGGGGGTGGAGGTGGGGTGTCGCCGGCGGCGGGAGGCGCCATGAGAGGACGAAGAGGGGAGGTTTGCTTGTGTGTCTTCTTTGCTGGGTTTCGTGGGCTTTGCTTGGCTAACAGGCCCAACTTGATTGAGTTGGTGGTTAGGAGAGACCAACCAATAGATGGAACCTCCTGTTTGACACAATAAAAAAAATTGTTTGAAACTTTTTTCACTAGTTCTTATAGCCCTGTGTTGCTAATTAGTCACCAAACATTGTTAGCTCGATTGGTTATCCACGCGCCCCCGGAAGGCCGGAACCGGGAGGTCATTCATGGAGTGCTGGATATGTCCTGTGTCGAGGCCGTTCCGTGTCGGGAGGGCCTGTGTTTGTTACAAGATATCTAGCGAGGCCCGGTGATCACTACTCCGGATTGTGCAGGAGCGATAAGACTGACAGAAGACTGAAGTAAAGGAGAGAGTACAACTATCCTAAAGGACGTGTAGTGATTCTTTCAGCCATGGGAGATGCCAGGTTCTTCCATGAGAGGAGAGAATGTTTTTGAAAATATCAAGTGCTGGTGCTGCTTGCTACTGCTGCTGGTGGTGGTGCTGCTACTGCTTTTGCAGATAATCGATTATTCCTCCACAAAACATGCACATTTTTTCTTTATGCTATGCATCTTTTAGAAAAAAATGCGCGTGCTTTAAATTTTTTGTTCAAGAAGTTTTAATTTTATAAAAAAAATCAAATATTCATATTTTAGTAAATTTTTCATAAATGCCAAAGGAAATGTTCATTACTTCAAAAATTATTAAGAATGGAAAAACACGAGCAATTTAAAAAAGAGCGAATACAATTTTAATCATGAACATTTTTTGACTTTAACATTTTTGAAAACTCTAAAATATTGTAATTTCGATAAAGTCACAAAAATATGATTTTTCTAAAAGCTCTAATATTCTTTTAAACGCCCAATTTGTTTTTGAATTTGTGAACAAGTATTGAAAAAATAACTTTTTTTGAGTTTGTGACCAAATTTAAAAACGGGGACAATTTTTGAATCATGAACTTTTTTCAAATATGCAAGCGCTTAGGAGGCCCAGCAGGCGAGCGATGTCGTCGCCTAGTTGGGCCAAGGCCTAAGTTTATTTTACTTTTCCGTTTTTATTCCCTTTTTCATTAACTAATTTTTCTCCTTTTTGAAGTTTATTCTTCTTTTTGAAACCTGTTAAAAAATCGGCCAAAACAACCCGATAGAAAAGGAAAACCAGAGTTTTTCTTTTTATCGTTATATTTGACGCACTACAAAATATGGAAAAAGAAGAACTTAGACATAGGAGGTGAGTTCTCCCATGTAGTTATAAGATGCACAACAAGAATTATAAAAGAAGTAACAAGGCACAACAAGTTTGCTGTCCGAGTTGGTGACAACGGGGTGAAGGAAATATGCCCTAGAGGCAATAATAAAGTTGTTATTTATATTTCCTTATATAATGATAAATGTTTATTATTCATGCTAGAATTGTAGTAACCGGAAACTTAGTACATGTGTGAATATATATAGACAAACTAAGTGTCACTAGTATGCCTCTAATTGACTAGCTCGTTGGATCAAAGGTGGTTAAGTTTCCTAGTCATAGACATGAGTTGTCATTTGATTAACAGGATCACATCATTAGAGAATGATGTGATTGACTCGACCCATTCCATTAGCTTAGCATTCGATCGTTTAGTATATTGCTATTGCTTTCTTCATGACTTATACATGTTCTATGACTATAAGATTATGCAACTCCCGAATACCGGAGGAACACTTTGTGTGCTACCAAACGTCACAACGTAACTGGGCGATTATAAAGGTGCTCTACAAGTGTCTCTGAAGGTACTTGTTGGGTTGGCATAGATCGAGATTAGGATTTGTCACTCCGATTGTCGGAGAGGTATCTCTGGGCCCTCTCGGTAATGCACATCACTATAAGCCTTGCAAGCAATGCAACTAATGAGTTAGTTGCGGGATAATGTATTACAGAACGAGTAAAGAGACTTGCCGGTAATGAGATTGAACTAGGTATTGAGATACCGACGATCGAATCTCGGGCAAGTAATATACTGATGACAAAGGGAACAACGTATGTTGTTATGCGGTTTGACAGATAAAGATCTTCGTAGAATATGTAGGAGCTAATATGAGCATCCAGGTTCCGCTATTGGTTATTGACCGGAGACGAGTCTCGGTCATGTCTACATAGTTCTCGAACCCGTAGGGTCCGCACGCTTAACGTTCAGTGACGATCGGTAATATGAGTTTATGTGTTTTGATGTACCGAAGGTAGTTTGGAGTCCCAGATATGATCACAGACATGACGAGGAGTCTCGAAATGGTTGAGACATAAAGATCAATATATTGGATGACTATGTTTGGACTTCGGAAGGGTTCCGGGCAAGTTCGGAGAAATA